ATGGATTTATTGGCATTCAGTACAGAATGCATTCCAGCAATCTAAGACTATGGAAATGTTCCTTTGTGATTATTGATTGGCTGCCCAAAAATGCTCTAAAGTAGATGATGGAAAGCTGTTCATTGAAACTTTCCTTGGACATCCACGTTGAATGTGTTTGATGCAATTTTATCAGCTTACTGAGGAAGAGTATCCGAAACGGTGTTTGAAATCCGGAATCTTCGTCCCTGCCCTGCTGGAAGTTATACACACTTGAATACTACTTATTACAATCTTTGATGTATAGATTACCTGCTGACAGAATTGAAAGTATATTGTCCTTACCTGTTGAAAGTCAGTCTATGACTTATCTGTTGGATATTTGTAACACAGTTATATGTATTTGTAATTTTGTATAGTGAAATTGTTCCTTTTGGTGAATTCTTAGCGTTGTCTACAGTTTTTTTCTTCAACCAGGTGGATCAGATTGTCAGAAAGGCTGCTTCAGGGGATTCCCTATGGCCATCTCAGTATTAATAATATTTTTATCCACTGAATTCTTACATGTGTTGGCCATAGCCTTATGCAAAACTGCTCCTGAATGTAAGACTACTACTGGAGCATCTAGCAGAGGGACATGAGGCCTTTCATATTGCCTGCTGGAAAGGTGAAAACTTTTTTTTAATGCCTGCAAAAAAGTACTGTTGCCTGGAACTGCCCATTCTGCCTTTGGTATGTAATCAAGGAATTCGGAGATGGACAATTTGAGGACCCTTCAGATGGTCTCTCAAACCCTCTAGTATCTAAATTAGATGAAGCCGATGATCTAGGATTTTTTGTGGTATCCAACTGGTAGTTAAGAAAAGTCAAAGATGTTCCGGCTGGAAAGGCCTAGGGGAATTTCCCTAGGAATGTCCTAGAAGAATTTTCTGACCATTCCCCTTCCTGTTTATCAGAGCTTGTTGCCATATATCTTATGGTTGAAAAGAGCTCTTTCACCCCTGAACCCAAGCCTGACATGACTGGTGAGGAAGAAGAACATCTCTAGCTCTCAAAAGCGCCAGATGTCACTGGTGCTAGTGTCCTTATCGGTGAGATCAGCCACAGCCACTACTTGGTCAGGTACTCCTAGTCATGGAAAGTCCAACATGATTCCTGGTAGCATACGCACAGGGTTGGGGGAGGCCCAGGCTGTATTAAATGCTTGGAGGGGGGAGCTGTTCTGCTGCACTGCCACCCTTGCTTGGATTTGCCCCTTGCTCACCTTGGAGGTCCTTATCCCACTGCACCTATGTATTGGGGGGGGGGGGTTGCCTGACCTTCAGCTCCAATCTTCTAGCTCCCTGTAAGCCCGGAAGCCTCCGAGTCTGTATAGGGTGGGCCACCTGCTGCAATTTCCTCATGGTTGCTGGACTCAGTAGAGCTCTGCTGGGTTTTTCCAGTGCAGTTGGGGGCTGGCTGCAGAAATGACCTGAAGACATAGGTCTGGCAGCACCAACAGAGACCCTCATTAGTCTCTGAAGCCTCAGGTGGGAGAGGCCTGCCACAGTGGCCTCCCTCTTCTTTCTAAGATTGGTAATGGGGTCCTTCCTCAAGGCCCTTCCATCTCCGCTGGGTGTTTTCAGCGCAGTTGAGAGCTGGCTGGGAAATGACTCGAAGCCTCAGGCCTGCCAGCACCGACAGGGGCATGTGCCAGTCCCATGCCTGAAGCCTCAGGTGGGAGAGGCCTGCCACAATGGTCTCCCACTGACTGCGGCTTCTGGCATTGTAGATGTATCTGCCATTGGCTAGTCTCAGTGCCTAGTTTGTCTTAATGGTCTCCTTTTTCAAGGCTGGCGATAGCTCCTTTCTTCAAGGCTTTTCTGTCTTCCATACCAGTAAGGCAAGAGTCTCTGAGAAAGCGGAGCTAGGTTCAGATATCCTGCTGGAGCGGCAGGGCTATTGAAACTGGAGGGCTAGCCTTGCTCTGAATCAATACAGTCTACACAAATTTGTATAGCCCTGCCTGAAGCGAGAGGAAAGCATGATCTAACCAGTTTGGATGACTTCCCCCACTGAAGGAGAACTGGGTTTGATTCCTCACTCCTCACATGAAGCCAGCTGGGTGACCTTGTGTCACTCACAATTCTCTGAGAGCTGTTCTCCCAACAGTAGCTCCCTCAGCCCCACCTACCTCACAGGGTGTCTGTTGTGGGGAGAGGAAGGTGATTGTAAGCCACTCTGAGTGAAGGGTGGGGTATAAATCCAACTCTTTCCTTTTCCCTAAGCCAATTAAAATACTGAAATGTAGAAATTTTTTATAAAACCTAAGTGTGGTAATTAAACCGCTAAGGTGCTTGTGATATATCTCTTCAAAGCAATTTCAGCAAAGACTATGAAGATGATGATGATTGTATGGCATTGTGTGTAGTATAGCCAGGAGATCCTAAGCTTGTCTGGCAATCAAAAGTTCTAGCTTTTTTAGCATTATGTACCACTAGGTGGCGAGCTACACTTGTTTTTAAGGCAAGAGATGTTTCAGAGGTAGTTTGCCATTGCCTGCCTCTGTTTCACAAGCCTGGTATTCTTTGAAGCTCACCTTTCCAAATGCTAGCCAAGGCCAGCCCTGCTTAGCTTCTGAGATCTGACAAGATTGGGCTACCTTGGGCTATCCAGGTCAGGACTATGATGTACTAGCCCACACAGTCAGCTTCTGTTCTGTGGAATCTGGCAAACTGGATTTGTTGCAGAAACTCACATTCTTGTCCAACAAATACTGAAAAAGATAAGTTTACTGTACGATGCATTCCCACACAAGTTCAAGCATATGCATTACAAAACTGAGACATGAAACACTGTCATGTCACACACAAGGAAAGCAACTTAAAATCTTAGTGTTTGGGCATGGACCAAAGACATTGATCTCTCAAACACCTAAAGATTTGAGCTAGACAGATACAATTCACAGTTATAAATTATTATTACTAAAGCATTTCTTTTAAAAAAAAAATTACAGTAAGTTAACAAATTCATCCACTACATAACCTTGGAATTCTCCACATTTACAAAACAACATACTGCATTTAGACAGTGCCTGTATCAAATGTAAGAGGATAGCAACTACTTTACAATCTACAGATAAAGAAAATAAGTCTTAGTGGTTGAACTCTTATTTACAAAAATACTTTACATTACAAAAGGGATAGGTATAGCTTCCAGAAATTCTATTCAGCTTGACAAGAGGGGAAATTTATATAAAATTTTTGTGCTTAAGCTAATATTTCTTTTCCATAGAATGTTTTTGGGAAGGTCAAAGGGTTAGACCCTACCAACGTTTCTAGTGGGGGAAGGGAAGAAGGGATGAGCACCCAATTCCTCTCCTCACTGCAGCCTCAGTGACTTTTTGTCCATCAGAATCCCATACTTTCCCAAGTTGCCCTCCTCTTGCACTCCTATACGAGTTGGGAAGACCCAACCCATGTTACACTTAATTTCAGTTCAAAGGAAGATAAAAGAATGAGTTAGCTACACATTTAGCAGTTTTGTTTTTTTTAAAAACTGTACCATTGTAAGTTTCTGTACTGAAATGAAATAATGCAAACATTTAGAATTGAAATGACGTATTTAAATTATTAGTAAATTATTCGTGCATATACTTTGGTGAAGGTGTTTGTATGAGCTGATATGAACTGTACCAGTTGTGAATGCAGGAGCAAGCTGAAGTAAGTCTCTGTCAAGCTGTAACTGAGAACTATTGCCATTTTCCTTATAAAAGTTCCGTTTGCATATAGGCTCTAGAGGGCAGACTTTATTCTACATTGTATAGCCTCAAGGATTTACAGGAATTCTCCTGGTTATTTTGGAGTGCTACAAAAAGTCTTCAGGTTTAGCTTTATATTCCTATAGTAAAGTATTTGAAACTGAAAGAGAACTTTCATCCAGGCTGTCTGACTTTCAACATGTAAAGACAATATACTGCCAATTCTGTCAGCATCTAAACCCACAATATGTTAAATTCCTTGTTTACAGGTAGGTTTGTGATTGGGTTTCCTCCTGCAAGCCTCCTGCTTATCATATAAAGTGAAACTGATCTTATTTCATGGACTTAAAACAGCTTTATGTAACCAAGAAGGTTGACAAAAGGGATAATAACAGAATAATTAATAATAGCTTACATATGATAAATTAACCTAGCTCTACTCCAATACAAGTAGTGAAAAACCCCATTAAAACCAAATGCCCTCCTCAGTGGTACAAATTGTTCATATACACACGTTTACAAATGATCTTATGTAATAACTCTTGGTTTTAAAATATAGACAGCAAACAGAACAATTTCCACAAGCAAAATTACATTGTGAGGTTTCCCCTAAAAAGGTAAAGGTTCCCTTGCTCGAAAGCCAGTCGAGTCCGACTCTAGGGTTGCGGTACCCATCTCTGTTTCAAAGCCGAAGAGCCAACGCTGTCCGAAGATGTTTCCGTGGTCATGTGGCCGGCATGACTAAACACCAAGGCGCACGGAACGCTGTTTATATAAATATTATATATATTTTAATATACACACACACACACACACTCCCCTGTATTAGATATTTGGACCATGAACCACCATTATTTTTGGTGGTCCCCATTAATGAAGGGGGAATTATCTAATTAATGAACTGGCTCTACTTGTGTGTAATATAGATTAACAATTTTGGAAATTACATTTAAGTTTTATAAATGGCTCATACAATAATTAATTTCTTCTCTCTCTCCCCCCCCCCCATTTCTTTTTTTATTCAGGTTTTAAAGTTTTGGTCAGAAATGTTATATTTTCTGTTTTGAATAATTTTGCTTTATGGTGTTTATTTTAACAATTTGTACCACTGAGGAAAGCCTTCTGGCTGAAATGCGTTTGGTTTTAACCATTTGTATTGTATTAAAAGTTTGGTTAAGTTATATATACCGTATTTTTCGGACCATAAGACGCACCTGACCATAAGACGCACCTAGTTTTTAGAAGAGGAAAACAGGGGAAAAAATATTCTGAACCCTGGGGCTGTCATTCCAGTTCCTGAACACTCCTGGCCCTGTCATTCCGGTTCCTGAACACTCCTGGCGCTGGACGGGCTCTTTTTTCCCACATTCGCTCTATAAGACGCACACACTTTCCAGCCACTTTTTTGGGGTGAAAAAGTGAGTCTTATGGTCCAAAAAATACGGTATATATAACTTATTACTTATTGTTATTCGGCCTTTTGTCAACCTTCTTGGTTACCTGTTTTTTCTGCATTGAAGTTTTTTCTTCACATTTCTGTTTTGGTTTTGCTTAAAACGGCTCATTCCAATTTCCAGTATAAGCAGCTGTGACCAATCTCTTGCTGAAAGGTTGTGTGTGAGGTGTACCAGAAACAAATAGAGCTGCCAAGAACCACCATGGCCCTACAGATAAGCTTCCCTGTCCCACTACAGAGACCCAAACCAAACAGTTTATGCAGACAATTCACATAGCGTGCATGGGTCCCTAAAGTGACCAGGGACCCTAGAATTTTACTCTCTGGTCTCTCCTTTGGTAGCCCTATATGCAGATTCCGTTAACTGCTGTTAGACTGATCTTTGCTCTTAAATGGCATAAAATCTCCCTAGCTCTGTACTGATGTACCTGTTAACACCAGTCACACCGATTTTCCTCACCACTAAGGAAGACTCTTCCTACAATTGCTGATTCTGCAAGTTTTGCGGTGCACACCTCTGATCTGGCAGTTGGCTATGCATAGTGTTGATTGTGAGACACTGTAGTTCCTATCTTCTGCTCTACAGAGCATTCAATGTTTGGCAAGTACTCTTCCGGAAACTTGTGCTCTTATTACACTTTCTACAGCAGGATGCCATATGTTCAATGCATTAGAAAATTTCTTTTTTAGAAAAAGAACATATTATTTTCAAAACTATTTCAGGGGAGAAAGAAGGAAAGACTAACACTGTCAGTTTATCAGCATTGCACAGCCAGCCACTACAGAGTGCTGTGCAAGCAACACCCATAGATACGATTTCCTTCAAGGATGCACGTCAACATGGTAAGTATGTTTGACTACACAGCTTTTATTCTGTATGCACATATGCTACAGGACCAGTATTTTTAACTTTCTAGGTATGTGTCTAGCCTGTGAAGTTGTTTGACTAGCTTCATAAAAAATACAGCCATCCTTAGCCCATTTCCTACTGATGTTGCATGTATCAACTAATATTGGACATTAATGAGTTTAAATAAGTCATTATAATGTACTGTACGTGGTATAAAAGTATCAAATTGTTATCCAGTTTAGGATGCATTAACTTGTAAATGCCTCATTGGAAACAGGTGCTTGACAAGTCAACCCTGATACTTTCAGTTGTTGTTATTGGCAGCAGTCATTCAGAGTCTCCACAGGATCTTCAACTCTTCCTCAGGCTCAAGTCACTGTTCGTTACTAATGCTGACAGAGAGGTACTTTCTGATGCATCGTCTTTCTTGAGATTCAGGAATGATTCTCTTGTTATCTGCAGGATTTCTCTCAGTCCTTTGTTTTCTTGCTGCAACCAATGAAATACTGCTTTAAGTAATCTGGCAAAAGGTGAAAGAATATTTGAACAGGTGGAAAAAGAAAACTGAGTATACTATTCTACGTAACTAAAGGAAATAATTTTGGGAAAGCTATAACTCCAGACACAGGCTCTCTCTGCAGAGTATATCTTAAACAGAGACATTTGTTGGTGCAAAAGTTCTTCCATAAAGACAAGAACCTTTATTTACTGTAAAGGAATAAAAAGTAGTCCGACAGTATATGAGCTGAGAGCAAGAACATGGGTTTCTCCGTCTTTGTTGAATGAAGATTCAACAAAGATAACAGCAATACTTGCCTTTACTCCCACAACAGACCATGGACAGCAAAATACACACCATCTCCCAAAGGACTAAGCATTAGCAACAGCAGCACAACTTGTGCCACTGCATCTAAAAGTAGTCCACACAACTGAAGTTTATTTTCATGTTGTATAGTGTTTGTTATACAACTAGCTTTCAGATCTAATGTAGTAATCAGATTTCTAAATTCATGATTTTAAAAAATTAATGCTTTAAAATTTCCTGTCAACTATGGTGCCTAATTTTTCATGCAAAAGGAACCCAAAAAGCATTCAGAATCTGTTTTAATGTCAGTTATACTTTTGCAATTTTAAAAAGTCATATTAGCTTGCACAGTTTCAATGTGATTCATTACTTACTTCTAGTTGAAAAATTCGTTCCTGCTCTTTGCAGCCCTGCTGCTCATCAATTTCAATGGCTTTTCGCATTACTGCTGCCATTTCTGTAATTTGATCCACATGAATTTGTAGCTCCTATGCCAAAAAATTAAGAATGCTTCTGTGACTTGCATACAGTTATGACAATAATCAATTGCAGTATAGGAAAACATAGTGTAACAGAAATCTACACAGCTTTCCTACATAATTTGGAAAACGTATGTGACATTGATTTCCTCCAATAACGTTGTTGCCCACAGCGAGATTAGAGACTTGACAATATCTTAGCTCCAATAACTTGTTGCTCTAGTGTTCACTGAGCTATTTTCAGAGGCTCATATCTGATCAACTTCTCCAGGAAAAAGGGGTAAGGTGGTCCAATACTAGAGAGTTGGATTCTACAAGCCATAAACAGAAGGTCCTTGTGGATGTTTCCTACTGTCTTTCTTCAGCAGCTTGTGTTGGAGAATGAGAGAACCTCATGAACAAAGATCACCCCTACCTTCTTCCTGCACCACCAGAAGAGGGAAGTGGAGGCCATATTGCTCAAATCTTTCTCCTTAGTGATGCTCCCCATACCTCTGTAGAATCTTTCCCATGAGGCTCCCCCCCCCAAAAAAACATCAGCTTTCCAGGAACTGCTTCGGCATGCTGGATTAGTGACAAGATACAGTTTGAGTGAAGCAGTCACAAAACTTTGCTCTTCCTCCCAGCACATAAGTAGTAACAGTTGTGTCCTGTTTTGGGAAGCCAAGCCAATCTCATCCAGCAGTCAATACAGAAAATACAAATTCAGTCTTAGGAAAATATTCACAGTGCTTTCACAAACGAGAGAAACAAATCTGTTAATTAGTTTCAGTAAACAACTGCTCAGGCTGAAAGCCTCTTGGGATATCAGTGCTCAAGGAAAAACAGCTCAGTTCTCTGGACCGAAAGGATGAAGTTCTGTTCTTATACATACTAACATGTTAATGACACACTTCAACTTAGTCCTGTCAAAAGTGCAACACAAGCCAACATACTGTAAAAATTCAAGCCTCTTCTTTTAACCATAGCTTTGCTGTCATAATGTAATTCAGCTCCCCCCTCCAACACTACACTGTATGCCTGAATGATGCACCTTTGAAATTTATCATCAGCACAATGTAAATGCATCTATTTTGAATTGCTATTGTTCACTAGCCTGTTTATTAATTTGTTTCACAGGTAGTTTTCCAATCAAAGAAAGCAGACATATTTTTGCTTTTGCTTTGGGGAGTTAGTCAACAGAATTATTTCAGTATCATCTCACCTGTTAATGAACAGATTCATAGTACATAATAGTAGTTTTACAGCAATTAATCGCTTAGATCAAAAACTTAACAAAATCAACTAAGTGCCCTTCTCCCAGATTAACCAGACAATAGCATTCTTCGAGATTTCGCTAATTACAGCACAAGTTTAAGTGTATTTTGCTTCAGAATGATTAATTTGTATACAAATTTGAATGACTGCTTAATCCTCCATAATTTATGGGTTAAATCTAAACTGGAATTGTATCCAAAGGTGGTATTCTGTACATAGAAGATCACATCTACATTGAATCCTGTTGACCAACTATTTAAGATATTTTTAATTGAGTGAAAGCACCACTAACTGGACTTTTAATTTAGACATATGGAATGATGTCAACTAAAATAATTAAATACGTCTGAAATAGAGGCTGATGAAAAGGAGTAAGAAAGAGACTTACTCCTCCCCCTTCCAATCATTACTACTTCCTTGCATATCAACCCTCCAATGCTACTGTGCAGAGTAGCAGCAGTGGGGATTTGGAAATGGTACTTAACCATGTAACATGTAGCTCTGGCCTCCAACACCAACTAAAATCGGAAAGAACACTGTAGTATCTGATATAAAGCATAAATCAGATAACTGAACAACACACTCTAGTGCAACAGGTTTATGGAATTTTTAAAGACTTACTACCTTGGAGTGCTGCTCCTTTAACTTCATTATAATACCTGGGTCATCTTTTTTGCTGGCCATGAGCAGTCTAAACATCTGCTCTCTGTATTTGCTCATTATTAGCTCCAATGCAGACTGATGTTCTTCAAGAGATGTGCGTAGTTCTGTAAAAATAAAAAGTAAATGAAAATATGTGCATAGTGAACAGTAAGCTCTGTCCCAATATAAGAGAAAGTTCTCCTTTAAGAACAGCAGCTACAAAAAAGTCATCCATTTAATTACAGTTACACAGAATGGAAAACTGGCATTCTTGAACATGTCAAATCAACCCAAATTTTGTCTACCACAATAAAAAGAATCAAGAATGCAGAAATGACTCCTTTATTTCAGATGCCACTTGGAAATATTCTACTGAAATTTAAAAACTGCATTTACCTTTACTTAGAAAAATAATTTCTTGGCAACTACAATAGACTACCCAATCAATTAATCACTCTCAGTTCTTAAACATTGTTATGGGGATACAAGTTCTACTGAATCTACCAAACTTACATCTGACTATGTACAAATCAAAAAGAACACTTTTATTAGCAAAACAGGAGGCCACTGGCACTATAAAGACTAGACTGTTTGGAATACTTAATACTAAGTTTCCAAAAGTTTAGGTTATGTTCTGTTGAACTTTTCTTATTTTTCAAAATCACACAAAATACAATCAAAACACAACATATATAAAGTTGAATACTTCCAACTACAGAAAGAGGCATTAAAGCAACTCCTAAAACACATAAGGAAAGACTTTTTTTTAACCTTTTATTCCAAAAACTCCCATATCTAAACACTCAGTAAATTTATCTGAACATTGCAATTATTTCTCTGCCCAACTGATAAGTTTGTTAAGGCTCCACTTGTGGAGGAACCATTCATCCTCTGAGGGAGGTTCTAACTTTTTTCATTTTGTTGCCATTGCTAATTAAGCAGCAGTAAGTAGTCTCAATAACAAAATGAATTACCACTTTCTAAAAGCCTTATATTTTTGAATATGACAAAATATGTTTAAAACCCCCCACAGACGAGTCACACTGTCAACACTGATCCTGTCTATTTCTATTAGTACTGGCTAATCTATGCCGAGTGAGATACCACTGAATAATTTTCTTTTAAACCCACAGAAATCAGTTTAGGTACCTTTATTTTCTTGTTGCAGTTCCCTGATCTGCCTGTTTTCCTGCTGGATACTCAAAACCAATGAAGAGCGAGGCCTGTGTCTTGCTACTTCATTCAGTTCTTGAATTTCTTCCTGGTACTACAATCAATTTTAAAACAAAGAAAAAGGTGTCCAGATGTCAGACCTTTGATATTAATTACTACACTGAACTCAGGACCACTGGCTGGGATAAAAAGAATAATGCAGCTAATTCTGCTCACTCAATGGGACTTCAGGCTTCTATTTCTCAAAGGACATTCCTTCCACATGACTGGAGATTTTCAAAAGCAGATGAATATGACTTGGGGTCTGCAGTTTTTTTTTTTAAGTTCAAAACTCCACTAGGCACATCCTAGCTGTTGGGGATACTTATGACCTCTCTTTGGATAAGTCAGCAGAGTCTAGAAGAGGGACCAATTTACAAACAGCCCCTGCTGCTCTGACAGCAAGGGTGGGTTCAGTAGCATCCCCAAAGTCTTTGCCTGGCCAGAATTAACTAAACAGAAAGTTAATCTTTTCTGTGACCTCAGTCTTATCTAGATTTTCATTTCAGCTTCTTCCCCCCACTCAATCAACTTGGCCATGGCATCCAGGCACTGGTCAGGCAAAACTCCAGTTGATCTCTCACTGGCATACTGTAGATGTTGAAGAGCATTTGCGATAACACAGAGCCTCAAGCAGCTCCTCAAAATAGGTCTCAGGAAGTGATTCAGCTTCCTCAGTGGAAAATCTATGTATTATTGCAAAGAAAAGAGTGAAGTGAAGAGTATCTGAAATTTCTGCTATACACTCCAAATGATTCAATAATACTATATGACTGACAGCAACAAGGGCCACCAATAGATCTAGTAATGCTAACAGTGAAGAATTAACCGTATCAATCAACAAACACTGACAACCCCACTAGTGTGATTAAAGTTATCTGACTAAAATCAGTATATTTCTCAAAATTGTCTTAGGCTGCTCTGCTGTGGAACATGTAGGGATGGAGGCAGTTACTATTTAGCTAAGGCCTTTTCATCTATTGATGGTTTTTCAGAAGTTGTTTAAGCAGTGCTTTCAAGACTATGGAAAGCTATATTCTACTAAAGTGTGGTTTATATTATCTTGACTAAATGTACTCTCAGTTCCTCCTGTGTGTGTGTAAAGTGCTGTCAAGTTTCTTTTGGGGGGTGTCTTTTTGTATTTTGTGTGTGTGCACACGTGTGAGTGTGTGTGCACCTGGAAGTCATAGCGACCTCTGGTGACTGACCTCTATTGGGGGCCTGGAGGATATTCAGAGAGGTGGCTGAATAAAGCCTACCTCTGTCCTCCCAACTGCTGGTATTCCAAGGAGGTCTCCCATCCAAGTACTTGCCAGAGTCGATCCTGCTTAGCTTCCAAGATATGACAAGATCAGGCTTGCCTGGACTATCTAAGTGCTATCAAGTTTTAACTGACTTATGGTGACTCCATAGTTTTCAAGGCAAAAGACAAACAGAGATGGCTTTCCATTGCCTGCCTCTGTGTAGCAACCCTGGACTTCCTTGGTGGTCTTCTATCCAAGTACTAACCAGGCCCAACCCTGCTTAGGTTCTGAGGTCTGCAAAGATCAGGCTAGTCTAGGCCATCCACGTCAGGGGCGGCATTTTCCCCTAGCAAGATATAATCAGCCAGGTTGGGTCAAGAACTAGGTTACATGGGGTGACCTTCAAGAACTATGTCCAAAGTCAGGAAGAGCAACCCAAAAGAGCTGAAGCTTCTACAACCAGGGAGTACTTCCAGTGGTTCTGCTATAAGATTTGTATTTAATCTGGTGTTAAGCCTATCTCAGTGACTTTTGCAGCAAAAAAATCTAGCAAATGCATTGCATTATAACTACCACTGTACCCCCTTCTAAGAGGATGGATGTAAGAACTAGCAGACCTCAAGCCACCTACAACACTCAGGTAGACAGGAAGCTCTGAAAACATTTCTTTGGAAATAGATCTTACTGATTCCATTCAGTTTACCTGCAAGTATACATAGGAATCAAAACTACAGAGTTAGTTTTAACAAATTAAGGTCCCTGCCACACGGCAGGAAAAAAAGCAGGCAAAGTGCGGCTTTTAAAAGCCGCACCAAAATAGAGACGCTGCGGCGGGATCCCACGGATCCCCTGAGCCGCGGCGCCGTTGCTCCCCGGCACGATCATATGCCGGGGAGGAAGCGACGGTCGGGAGGGGGAGGCTGCCGAACTGCGCATGTCTGAGCATGCGCTGTTCGGCCAGGAGCCGGGGATGCGCCAGCGGAAGGACGCGCCGGCGATCCCACGGCCGGCCTTGATGCGCCGTTTTCTGAAGAACCACCTACTTAGGTGGTGTAGTTTTGATGCGGGGTTTTGGGTGGAAGGGCGCGGCATGCTTCCCAGTTTGTAGATTTTCCAGGCTGTATGGCCGTGGTCTTGGCATTGTAGTACCTGACATTTTGCCAGCAGCTGTGACAGGCATCCTCAGAGGTATAACACAGAAAGATGGAGTATTCTTTGTGTCAATGTGAGAAGAAAAATGGTAGGCAGGTAAGTTATATCTACTCAGGAAGGTGGGGTAGGGCTGAGGACCACACAATGTAGCATCCAGGCAAGAATAAAAGAACATGAAAGACACTGCAGACTTTGCCAACCTGAAAAATCAGTAGTGGCTGAACATAGCCTAACTCAAACAGGACACAGTATCTTATTCCAAGACACTGAAATGCTGGACAACACATCCAATTGCCATGTCAGATTACACAGGGAAGCCATTGAAATTCATAAACAAACACAATTTGAACAGGAAAGAAAAGAGTTTAAAAATAAATAGGGCATGGTTTCCAGTCCTGAAAAACAAAATGCTCTACATCTTAAAATCCATATGCAAAAGAACCTCCTCAGGAAAGCTCCTCCATTAGCATGTCACAGCCCGGGAAACTCCTACAAGAGTAGATATAAATTACCTGCCTACCATTTTTTCTTCTCACAATGACACAGAGAGTACTCTATCTTTCTATGTTATATCTCTGAGGATGCCAGTCACAGCTGCTGGCGAAATGTCAGGTACTACAATGCCAAGACCACGGCCATACAGCCTGGAAAATCTACAAAAACTAACTAGATTATACTTTAAATGTATCAGAATAAGGACAAGGAAACTCATGTTACTTAGCTTTATTTATAGACACTTTGGTACAAAAAATCCTACTTAACTGCAGAAAGCCAAGATTTTGTGAGTGAAATCACTTATAAATAACAAAAGGAAGACTTGAAGAGGGGTGAGTGAAGACAAATACTGGTCTTGGTTATGGGCTCACAAGATTATGCAGCATTATACTATAACATAGAAAATCTAGAGGTTTGTAACAGTACAAACAAAATCTACTAGCTAACAGGTACTATGAAATAGACTGGCTACATAGTGCAGGCCTATGTTAGTCCTTTAGAATGGTTATTTTCTCATTGTCACTTTCTAAATAGGAATAGAATTTCCAACCTGCTTCATTGCTTCCACTCGTTTGTTGAGAGCTGTAGTCTGTTCAATCAGGGCTTCTGCTGCATTGTCATGTTCTCTCAGTCGCTCCACAAGTGCTTTGGCATCTGCTAGGGCCTTCTCAATTGTGCAGCTCATTTCTAAAAATAAGACAAAAGTTTTTATAAAATATAGTCTTCATTCGTTCACTCAACATGTCAGGCGAGTTTTCCTATACTCTGGAACATTTTGACATAATTTTGTCTTCTTAACCAAAGGACACCTTTAAAATGCCTGGACTCCCTTATCTTAGTATAACAATATACTTCTTGTAGAACTCCAGTTCTTTTATGTAGGGGAATTCTCCATGAAACTAGCAGTCAGCAGTGGTGACAGAACAGGCAACAAACTCACTGATTAGAAACCCAAATTCAGCTCACTAACCAAGGAGACTTGAGTGCTACTGCCAAGCATCATGTCGCAGTGCTGTTCATTTGATATAGCAGCCCCGTATAATCAGTGTATACATGGCCCTTGATGACCCTGTATGCTTCTAAAGTGATCGCACTGGGTTTCACCTCATGTGCAAACTGGTAGATAAATAAACAACTAAGGTAACCCAGCAACACAGCTTTGAGCAAGAATTAGACTCAAATTTCTCATGCCCAAATCCATAAAATTCCTGTGATGGACAGATTAGGTTCTGCCTCTCCCTACAAGCAGCCAATGGGATTGCTTTTAGGGAGAGGCAGAACCTAATCCACGGTTTCCCAACCTTTTTGGACCTGTAGGCACATTTGGAATTCTGATACGGCATGGTGGGCACAACAATGTGGCTGCCTCAGGAGGCGGAGCCAGACACAAAACGATTGCCACAGCTTAACTTCAGTAATACAGTATAGATCCTTGTGCTGTGGTGGCAGCTGCTGCCAAAAAATCTGCAGTCACTCAAATCTCCAGTGGTCAATCAGAAGCCTTGCTGGGCAAAAGCCGTACCTGCCCCCCTTCCTAAAAACGCTTGGCAGGCACCATGTTGGGACCCCTGACCTAATCTGTCCATCACAGGAATGTTATGGATTTTGGCATGGGAAATTTGGCTTTTTTGGCTCAACATTGTGTTGAAAAAACAGCCATTAGTTCAGCTGGGTCTGGCTGAATGAAGATGTGGCAGAAGTGCAGTTTAAAGCAGACTAGGAAATGGTCAAATTGTAACAAAGAAATCCAAATGCCTGAATAGGAGAACGGTTCAAATGTTCAGCTGAAAAGAAATGTTGTAACCTCTACTGGATTTACTCTAAAGGTATGTTCAAACAATAAATAAAAGTTAACTCCTTGTTTAACCCCATGAGCTGGATATTTATGGTCACAGGGAACAAAGTATACACATGATCTATGATCTCTGCCTATATAAAAATATATATAAGGATATGAATAAATGGTATGTGAATGAAGCTGCGGTTGAGTCCCAGTCTCCAACAACTCTGTGCAGTCTCTGAGTAAGGGGTAATTATTAAAAGGAACCGAGCTACCCTGTCTGGTAATGTCTCTGTGAGAGAGGGGACCTGGTATGTGAAAGGGTCATGGCTCTCTAGATTATTGTAAAAGAGGCAAGACAGGTAGTGAACTGTGACTGCCTGACCTACCTGTAGCCCTGAACCTGCAGGACAGAAAGTGTGGAGGGTGGCAGGTGAGTCAAAAAGGGTGAGACAATTCCCTCCACTGAATAACTTTTAGATTTTGAACTGTAAAGGTAGCTGCAAAATGTAATCTTTGAAAATAGTTCTGCATAGAAGGTAGATGAATACATAAATTTTCTACTCAGTGATTTCATTCTAAGAAGTTATATAGTACATTTTTGAGTATGCAGATGCCAATCATGTATCTACATAGATAAAAGAATGTATGAAGCAAATCAATGCACATGTGCACTCACAATTACTTCTGGAGTACCTAGATCTCATTGTGAATAAGCTGCATAAACAAATGCTTCATATGTTACATTTGTTTAATTCCTACATCTGGATAAACATAACATATGAATGGGCTCTTAGATGTGGAAAACAATAAAAGTAATCATATGAAATGATGCACCGGAGTCCTTTACAAAAATGCCACTACAAACCTAGTTGCATAAACACCAGTTTTAGAATGGGCTACAGAGTTATACCATCATCAACACCTGAACTGCCAAATACCAACACTGAAAACACATGCTAGTAATGCACTGACAGTTGCAACATATACCTGCTTGAGAAGTACTGCTGACCATTAAACTCCAAACAAATGAGAAGGCAACAATTTACTCCACAACTGCTTTGTAATATACTTCCTGGCAAAGCTATAATTAGTGCAGCCTACATCATGGATAAACAACTAACCAACATGGATTCTTCAGTCTTAATGAAGAGCCAGTTTGGTGTAGTGGTTAAGTGCGCGGACTCTAATCTGGGAGAACTGGGTTTGATTCCCCACTCCTCCACTTGCACCTGGCTGGATGACCTTGGGCAAGCCCTGGTTCTGATAAGAGTTCTTCAAAAAGAGCAGTTTCTGTCAAGAGCTCTCTCAGCCCCACCTACCTCACAGGGTCTGTTGTGGGGAGAGGGAAGGGAAAGGAGTTTGTAAGCTGCTCTGAGACACCTTTGGGTAGTGAAGGGTGGGGTATAAATCCAATCTCCTCTTCTTCTTAAATTCATATCTGAGAAATATTTCCAAATCAGTTCAGTTCAAAACCTTTATTGGCATAGATCAGAATCATACACAATCGCCATTCAGTTCATGGGTTTAACACACATCTTCCTCATTATAAGGCAGTTACAAAACTTAGCAACCGCTTCAATAACCACTATATTTTGTGAAGCCAGTAAACAATACAACATTCTGTCATCGGATTGCTTGGCATCATTCTTAAGAATATCTTCTAAATAGGCTGCCCGAATGTCCTTATACAAATTTCCAAATCACAAAACATGGCAACTCCCAGTTTAAAAAAACAAAAACAGCATCTAAACAGGGCAGAAGCTCCATAAGTTCTTAAGTTTACTGATTCATGAGCAGAATTCAAACACACACCTATTCCAGCAATACCCAATACAGAGCACAGCTGTTTGCCCCCCCATCACCAGTGTTCCCTCTAAGCTGAGTTAGTGTGAGCTAGCTCACAGATTTTTAGCCTCCAGCTCACACATTTTTGTCTCAGCTCAGGTAGGATGGCTCCAGAGCAAACTAATTCATGCAGTAGCCAAATCACCTGCTCACAACTTTAATGCTGGCAGTTCACAAAGTAGAATTTTTGCTCACAAGATTCCACAGCTTAGAGGGAACATTGCCCATCACTAGACAGACAGAAAACAGCTTTCTGTTTTCAGCTAAATTGCAATGTAACCCAAATTTCTACCAGAAAGCAGTGGAAAGCTAAAACTATGTACTAAGCATTCAAACATTGCAGATCATAAACTCCCTATGCAGCAATTGCATGTGGTTTGTTCTATATTGGTCCCGGTCACACGGGCCGGAAAATGGGGGGAAGCGTGGCTGTTTGCCCCGGAGCAAAGTAATGTGTGGCAGCCCAATCCCATGTCCCATTGAGATCCCGTGGTTAGGCCGTTAGGTGCCGATCACATGGCTATCCTGCAGCACGGCAAAGAAGTGACGCAATCACTAGGCGCCGTTTCTGTGGCAAATGGGAAATTCTTTTCCACACCGAAGTTTGCGCATGCACATGATCATTTGTGCGCATCCTGTGGAGACTCACAAAAAACCCCTCCATCTGGTGTGCGACAGGACATGGACGAGCACTGGATGCCACAAGATTCAAGCGGAAATGTGATCAGACGCCCGCCCTTGCCCCGCGTATTCCGGAAACTAGTACATTGTATGTGGTAGTTTTTTACTCCGCATCTTCGCGAGAAGCCACGGGTGTACTACGCTTCCTAGATATTGCGGTGTGATCATGCACCGAAAATCCACCTATCATCCGTGTCTTTAGTGCAGCAACTTCTCCGTGTGAACGGGACCACGATGTCATAATGTAGACATAATGAAGAGGTTTAAACAGTACTAATAGTTAAATAAAAATAAAAGAACAGAGACTGAAGAAATGGCATTGATGAGGGGAAAGTGTTCAAAAGTTGGCAACAGGTTGCAATGCTACTGAGTAAAATTTAGACCAGTTTTCAGTTATTACAAACAGGACATTAATGTTAAGTGCTTTTGAATCCTCCCCCCCCCCCCAGTGATAGCAATGTACAAAAACTTGTACCAAAAGAACTCTACTCTTCAAGTGCAGGAGCATGTAAAAGGTGATTGGTTCTTTTAGCTGCCAAAAGCTTTTCATAAATTGCAGTCAGAATGATCATGGAGTAGAGAAGAAATACTGCTAACACCCTTGGCAGCTCAGCTGAGAATTGCCATGGTGACAGTAGTTTCAAAGAGTAGCTGTATTGCTCTGCAGTAGAACAGCTAGATTTGAGTCTAGTAGCACCTGAGACCATCAACATTTTGAGGGTACAAGCTTATATCTGACAGAGGGAGCTTTGATTCTCAAAAGCTTATACCCCCAAAATCTTATTGGTTTCTAAGGTTCTACCGGACTTGAATCTAGCTGAAACTTAAATCTGAGCAGGGAGACTGTGTCAGGTTTGGGACACCTGAAATTTGTTTGTTTTCAAAGCAATGATGAGTAGCAACTCAAGAGCCTCTGAGAAATGTGTTACCCTGGGTTCAGAGATCCTTAATGACTGTTCTCCCTTTGTTGGTAAAAGCAGCTAAAAAGTGATGCTTTGAGGGGAGGGGGACGATGGAACTTGTTCCCTTCCTCCCCTGGAAACCACAGACAGCCCTAACCTGTGAAAGAAATAAAAAATGAGCAAATTCAATACACAGTCCCAGATCTGGGAGGCCAGGGTTCAAATCCCTACATAGGCCCCGGTCACACCGGCCGGATATCACGGGGGGAGGTGTGGCTAATTGCCCCGAAGGAAACTAACGCGCGGCTGCCCGAGCACACGTCCTGGTTGAGGTCCCGTGGTTAGGGGAGAGATGCCGACCAGACGGGTATCCTGCAGCGCGGCACAGAAGCCGCGCAATCGCACTAGCAATCACTCTTTGTGTGCATGCGCTGTTGCGCAACCTGCGGAGACGGGCGCCGAATGCCACGTGAGTCCACCGGAAACGCAATTAGACGCCCGCCCTTGGCCCGTGGCTTCCGGAAACTAGTACCTCTAAGTACTAGTTTTTTAATCCGCACCTTCGCTGGGGAGCCATGGGTTCGCCACGGGAGCACTGCGCTTTTCAGATGTTGGGGTGTGATCGCGCCCGGAAAATCCACGGGACTCCCGTGCCTCTCCCGCGGCAACTTTGCCTGTGGCCGGGGCCTTAGCCATGGAAGCTTGCTAGTGACCCTGGGCCCTACCTCACAAGGCTGTTGAGAGGATAAAATGGAGAAGGGATGAGGTAAGCTAGTCTGGGTCCCCATTGGGGAGAAAAGTGGGTTTCACTGACGTAAAAAGTAATAACACTTAACAATAATAAATAACATGCAACGTCCACTTCTGGTATTAAAAATCAGCATGTGTGTTAAGAAGTATCGGTGTGACAGCGGCACACACAGGAAGCGGTGTCGGAGCAGCTTTTCCTCTGCGTGACATGTGAAAAGGCCTCAGTCCTGGACAAGGGATGACAATTATCCTCTTGCCCCCTCAATCCCGCCCCCCCCCCAAGAAGCAGGGGTAGGGCTCCGGAGAGCAGCTCTCTAGTGTCGGTCTCCTCACGGTCCTCCATGAGGGGCTCAGCCCACGGGACAGCCGTTGAACCGAAAGCCCGGCGATAATCGCTCCCCGCCCGCGCGCCCCCGCTCGCGCCTCGCCAGGAGCCAATCAGAGCGCAGCAGCAGCCCCTCACCCACCGATGGTCACCATTCATTCCTCGCCAGGCAGCGCGCACAGCCGGACGATGTGGAGAGGCGTCTGCGAGCCCACTTCGGGTCCAGTCGCTCCCTTAAATAGCGGCAGCTCAAGGGACAGGCGAAGGAAGCGCCGGCCTGCCGAGCAGTCCCATGAAGGCGCGGTCAGGTAGGCAGGGGACGAAGGGAAGAAGGATCTGCCTCAGCAGGCGCCCACACGCAGTCACCACCGCGATCAGCAGACACAACCGACTGGGAAAGGGATGGTAGCCGGAGGCTCACGGTGTCATTTATCGCGAGACTTGGCAAGCAACATCTGCTTGAGTGCATTAGATGTTAAGCATCGCGATACTACTTTACAACAGCGGGAGGAGTACAACTTCCAAACATCGCGAGATTTCAGTTTCCTGTTTCATCCTTTCTTTGCTTCAGAGGGGGGCAGGAACGGCCCGCCCCTTTCCCCTATTTCACCCAGTCATTTTTCACGTCGATATATTGGGAGACTGTCACTTGCTTCTCTCACAGGGCTCCTCCTCCCGCCAGTTTCGCGATACTTTCGAGAGGTTGGTGCCCTGGCAGGCGTGAGGCGATAGGCAGAGGCTCCGGATGAGAGAGGCGACTGGCTAGCGACGTTTGTGGCAGCTCTCCCTCACCGAAAGGGTGGGTGAAGCGAGGCAAGACTTGCCGGGGGTGGGGGGGGAAGGAGGCCGGTGCCGCTCCTTCTGTCTCTGCGCAGTAATTTCCCTCAGCCGGGCCCGGAAGTGCAGCCACTGTCGGGAAAACCCGCTTCATGAGAAAAGAGATGGGCTACCGTAAGAGACTTTCCATGCGCCCCACCAGGCCCCCGAATGCTCCTCGAAGCGACATATAACCACAAAACACCCCCAGCCCGTGAAGCCCTCCCCCCCACCGACATTCTCGTAAGCATCCTTTTTGTCCTGTCTCCCCAATTTTTTTCTAAGGTCCATGGAAGCCCCTTGCGATGTACTGTCTTGAGGCGGAGGGAATCGCTCCTTCTGATTCCCTGAAGCTCTTGGTGCAATTACATACCTCTCACTGTCCTCACGATTCAGCAGAGACTCGGAAAACAGGTAGAGAAACCTCACATTGTGGATTCTCAAATGCACTGAAGTTTGGCCTTATTAAACCACAAGGAAAATACGCACTGTAGAAAACATGCACTTTCCCTCTGGCTCCACAGAGCAGGCAATGTTTTCTAGCAGAGCCTGGTAGGATGGCCTTTTTCTTCGTATCGACCCAAGAGACATGCAACTGAAGAGCAGCCATTGTTTAAAGGTAGAGTATCTGCTTGACATGCAAAAGGTTCCAGGTTCAATCTCTGGCATCTCCGGTTAAAAGAATCAGGTAGATGTGAAAGATCTCTACATAAGACCCTGTGGAGCTGCTGCCAGTTAGACTAGACAGGAGTAACCTTGATGGACCAATGAATGATCTGTTTCAGTATAAGGCGGTTTCATGTGAGTGTTCATGTGCTTGCAAGAGCCATAAAACACCCATAGGGCGCGTTCAGATGGGTTATTTGAGCCAGTGAGAGCCAGTTTGGTGTAGTGGTTAAGTGTGCGAACTCTAATCTGGGAGAACTGGGTTTGATTCCCCACTCCTCCACAGGCCATAACTATGGCACAGCTGTTTTTGAGAAAGAGCAGTTTCTGTCAAGAGTTCTCTCAGCCCCACCTACCTCACAGGGTGTCTGTTGTGGGGTGGGGAGGGGAAGGGAAAGGACTTTGTAAGCCGCTCTGAGACACCTTTGGGTAGTGAAGGGCGGGGTATAAATCCAATCTCCTCCTCCAGTATACGTGCGGGTTAGAAATTGACAGTTTACGCGCGATCACACAGCCAACATCTGCCTCCCGTCCCCAACTGTCCCAAACCCCCTTTAAACGAGTATTTTGCTACCAGGTCCCCAAGTGGTGTTTTCCTGCTGCTCTGTTTCTAGCCGCATTTCTCCCCTGTGTGATCGCTCCTCCGCCGGTGTAGAGCCACTTCCTGTTCTCCACTCGAAAGCTGCCTGAGGCTTCCGCTTTTAGCCCGCCATTTATTAAAAATTTTAAGCGTCGGCGATATGCGCTTGGGCGGCGTTTCGCCCCGGCATTAATAAATCCAAAGTTTAAACGGTGCCTAGTTTTGCTGTATAGACGAATTCAGGATCTCAGGGAGGCCAGTTTCGGGGTAAAAGTGTAAAGGGAAGTGTTCCTTTAACGTTTAAAGGGAAGCGTCACAGCAGTTGGGTTGAAGGGGAAATTGCTGTTCTGCGCACGCGCGAAAATTTCAATACTAAAGATGGCCGCCTGTGCACATGCCCAAACTGAGAGGGGAAAAACCCGTGTGGACGGCGGGGAGCGATGTGGCTGTGCAGTGATCCGGAACAAGGAGGTGAGTGTGATCGTGATTCTTCCAGGTTCAAAAAAAGCACATTGGACCAGAGCAATTCACACCGCTCCTGGCATGCCGTCTGACCGCACCCATACAGTTCCATCTACATGTCATTTAAGACACATACACATACAAGGTAGTATCCATAATAGGGGATAGGAGAAATCCAAGAATCCTATTTTCCTCTTTCATATTCTTTGTTCTCAGCAGGTGTCTTTTTTACTTTGGGTGAGTGAATGCATGAACTATAAACAGCAGTGTTTTACATTAATAACAGGGAGAGTTCTTCGTAGAACAGAGTACTTTAAACTATTTACTGATGCCTTTTGGGTAGGATGAAGAAGATTATTTTAAAAGATGGTGTTAACTGTTGGTGCTTTTTGATGTGAAATTGTTAATAGAGATCTTTACTTTGACAGAATAGCTTGGAATGATATTCCTTTTAAACAGGTAATAATGAAAAATTCCCATAAGGGCGATGAGAAGAACAGTTTTTTAAAGGCTGTTTTGACCTAGGCAAATGTGTTTGAGTGTCCTCTTGAATAAAAACAAAGGAATTTATTTTACAAAGGCAAGTAATAATAAGTGCATAATAAGAAGGTGATTGTCATTATAAGAATAGCAGTTGCCAGCTGAACTGGAGTTCTGACATCTTCAGAAACTATCAAAAAAGGACTGCGTATAAATGTGTTAATTCGAAGCTGTCCCTCAGAAGAATAACTGATATTTAAATAATTCGGTGTGATTCACCACTTAGGTGTGGTGTTGTAGAACCATGGGGATGAATATGCTGGATCTACCAATGTTGCTGGAGATTCCCTTCATCTACCATTCTGCCCCAAGCATTGAGAAAATAATCTAGACAAGGAAAACAACTGCTTCATCATGTGCAGTTGGTTATTTAATGAATAATATTATTTTTAAGGAGACACTGATGCTGAAGATAATCTTCAGAGACTGATAGAACTAAATGGCTTCTTAACAGCCCTGGGGATTTTCCTGTTAATGTTACTTGTGGTCCTTTCAAAACCCTGGTCAGCCTTGGAAATGTACCAAGCAGACAATTTGATCACACTGAGGTGTCCCACATCGGCCTGCATTCCAGTCAGTCCCTGAGTAGCTTTGGTTAATGAAATGGGAAGAGTGACAGTTGGAGCAATAGTGGAAGGGAGGAAATCTTTGCAAACACGTTATTATCTGAAAACCTATTATGGCATTGATGGCAGTCTTTAAGCAGTGTCTGGAAAAACACTTGTCAGGGATGCTGTAGGCTGATCCTGCATTGAGCAGGGGGTTGGACTAGATGGCCTGTATGGCCCCTTCCAATTCTGTGATTCTATGATTCTTTTTTAAAAAGCTTGTGTTTCTACCACCAGTATGTCTGCAGGGTATTGCCAGTGAGCCATTTCAACTATTCCTTTTTTTAATTTCAAGAAAGAGTAGAGGAATCCTCCCTCAGTTGCCTGCTATGACCATTTTGCTGGGCATTTTGGTGCTAATATCACTCTAATTCGTTCTCACTTGGATGCCATATTACTGAGTTAGATCAAACTAGATATTAGGGGTTCTGCTTTTCCTATTGTTATGTGTATATTATTAAGTATGCTTTGTAGTTGATTCAACTTGAGGATATGAGCAAGATTTTTTTAGAAATCTGAGAACCACAAGTGTTCTGGAACTTTGCTTGTTTTGACTTCCTAAGGCTGTCAGAGAGGGTCGTGGAACATACAGTGCCAGTCCTGCAATTAGAGATGGGCATGAACTGGCTCACGAAGTAAAGCTCGTCATGAATTTTGGCCAGTTCACGCTTTGCAAAGCGATGTTCATGGAAGGGCGTCCGTCACGAACATTCCACGAACTTTGGTGCTGTTTGTGGCAGTTTCTGAATGGGTACATTTCCAGACAGACTGTCTGCACTCAATCTGTTTACAAAACCTCAAGACAACAGGATGGGTGCGGAATTCTCCAACCTGGGAATACCAATAGGAGCCCTCCAAAGCTTAACAGGCATTGTTGGATGCAAATAACAGAGTTCCCATTCTACTCTATTGGGATCAGAAAGCTATATATATGCTCAGCTCAGCTCCACACCTTTTCGTCTGTTGGCTATTCATATTGCAGTTACAAAGAAAGACAGGGAACTTGTTAAAAGCCAATTGGCAGAGCACATTCATTTATTCCCTCCTGATTGTGAACTCCTCTTCCCTGCTGGGGTTTGGGTGTTATTTCACTGCTCACATCGAGCTACTGGGTACCTCGGCTGAATGAGGACCCACATTTTATACCCTCATGATTGTGAACTTCTTTCCCCTGGTGGGGTTTGGGTGTTAGGGTGGCTCAGAGCTCTGAGCCACCCTATCTCTCTGCTCATGCCGAGCAGAGAGGTTAGCTACTGGGTGTCGTGGCTGAGTGAGGACCCACATTTTATACCCTCGTGGTTGTGAACTCCTCTCCCCTGGTGGGGTTTGGGTGTTAGGTGGACTCAGGGCTCTGTATAGCCACCTAATTTAGTTGGGGTGATTCAAAATTCAGTAACTAAATCATGGGTTTTTTTCATTTCTCAGATAAAATTAGTTAATCCTTATTGCCAAGTCTTTAGACCTTTGATGTGGATATTGACTGGTATAGATTGGAAGATATATAAGTATTGTAGAAATATAATACTTTTAATCAGGTCTATTCTTTCTGGCCAAGAAAATCTTTGCTTTGCCCACTCTTAAAATCAATTTTATTTTATTTTTTTTGCTTAGTTGTTTATGATTATATTGGAATAGATCTTTTAAATCTTTGGGACTGTCAATCCCCAGGTGTTATTTTTCTTTTATATATTTATGTGTGGTTGGGTTAATATTGATTGGGTATACTTCAGTTTTTGTTTGGTTA